TTTAATTATATTTTATTTTATCGGGTCAAATAAAATATGACACAAGTTCTCCATCATTATTGGACCTTATAATGAATATACATTCCTCAACTTTAATTTAGAAGTCTCCGAAATTCCTTTTCGGGCTGTTATCCGATAAATTGTCGATACTGATAATCGGGCATTGTTTGACCAACCGGTGAACACTATGCCTCTGCCACGGCCCAATTTGGATATCCACCACCATATACATATTATCTAGGCCAAGATGAATATAATATGTGGTCTCGATAATATCGGGCGGCCCCCACTTCCGGTGCAGGCCCCACGTGAATTTTACTATTCACGTAAGAGAAATGATAAAAATTTACAATCACTTAAAAATGTGTTTACTCATTTCTCAAGGTTCAATACATAATTTAATAAAGTACAAATACTTGGGATGGTGTTACACACAGGGCCAGAAGTAGTAGAAGCTAATGCTAAAGATGCAGGGTGGCTGAGGGTGATAGGGTAGAGATGTCCATTATGATGTGCCTGAAGCAGAACCGCCCCCGAAATTTTGTCCTTTACAAGAAAATAATTTTTATCAAAAATGGCAATACAGTTGTGATCAGAACACAAATTTTATATAGAAATTTAATTAAATTTAATTTGAAGCACATGATAAACAGATTTTAATGATATTGGACGACTGGGAGTATTTAATGTGATATTACCGATATTAGCTATGGGAAGATTAATATCATTCGCAACACTAAAAGTCATGGGGCCAGAATAAGAAGATTTATTAGACAAGATACCTTCCGAGGAGGTCATGTGAGCAGAAACATCGAAGTCTGAATACCACAAAGCGTCGTTGGATTCCCCTGTAGGAGCCAAGAGAGCTAGTGCAGACGGCTGAGAAAATCGAGATGTACATTGAAGAGCAGAATGACCTACAGAAAAACAAATTTGACACACATCTGAAGGTGGAACAGATCCAAGAATACCCTCAGCTGATGGAAAACCTGCATATGCATAATGAGTACCAGAAGCAAATTCAGCATTAATATTTAAAGTGGACAAGACAGATTTACCAGATGCGACATTAGGCTGTCTCGAAAAATTGCCACCCCCTGCAACTAAAGGTCTCGGCCCCTGCTGATGAGGCTGTGGCTAAGCACCTAGTGGAACGTACCCCTGATGCGGCTGATATCGGCCCCTACCGCGGCCTCCGGTGTCATGGACGCCTCTGCCACGTTATGTGGTTGCTTGTCCTTGTTGCCCGCACCAACTTGAGCCCCAAACGTGTGCTGGATTGAGGAAGTATCTTGTTGTCGTTGATACAAAACACATTGTTCTGCTTCCATGAGGCGTGGATGAAGAGCATCAGGTGGAAAACTCTCAGGAAACAAAGAGATGGTGCCTACAATATATAAATTCATACTCAGTTCTCAATCCAAGGAGCGTGCTTTGTAGCAATTCTTTATCAGTCACACAAAAATTTATTGCAGCTAAAGCATCAGTCAGCTTTTTAATATCATGTAAATAATGCTACATGGATTGATTTTCTTTCTTTTTAGTACTACCTCCGTCCCACTATGTTTGGGACAAAGGAGTGTGACACAACTTTTAAGAAAAAATGGAATTGTGTGGTTGGTATTGAATTGATAAAGTGTGAATAAAGTAAGAATGAATTTTAACCACCCAAATATTACCAAATATGGTATAGGACAAACATAATGGGACGGACGAAAAAGGTAAAACGGGTCAAAATTAGGGGGCGGAGGGAGTATTAGACAATAATCGTTTAAGTTCCATTGCTCTAGGTAAACTGACATACATAAATCGTGATTGCAAACGCTCCCATATACCAAATGAATGTTTAATAGCATGCACATCAGTTAATACTTCACGAGATAAAGTAGCAAACAACAAAAAATGAATTGTTTGATCAACGTGGAGCCAATGATAATAATCAGTATTAACGACTTGATGATTATTAAAATCCATTGTGTACATGGGAGGTACCTGAATAGATCCGTCTACAATACCAAAAAGACTTTGGGACACGAGAAAAGATTCAAACTGAGTGCGCCACGTAAGGTAATCTTCAACCGCTTCGAGTTTGATGGTCACGATCTATCCGACATTAGCGATTCCATGAGAGACAGTTTGAGCCATGGCTGCCATAGGGGATCCAAACAAAGGATTATCATGTTGCGGCCGAGTGACACCTGAGAAGCCGGCGAACAATGAGCCAAAAAATGTGGAGTTGGTCAGCGGTTGTGGACGAAAGCTTGCGAGAGGGACGAGGGGATTGGCCGGTTGCCACGGGAACTGGGGCAGCAATGTGCTGAAGAGGGAATATGGCTGGGCAGCAGTGTATGGTGAGAAGGAAGATGCCATCGGATCAGAGAGTCACAACGGCAAGGAAAATTTCCCCACCGGAGGAGAGATCGGCAGCTAAACTGGTCCAAAGAGACAGAGGTGATAACTGTCGAGGAGGAGGACACTGAGGCATGGCTGAAACCAACGTCCGTTGTGGCTGAGATCGGCGGCGTGGTGGTAGAAGTCAGCGGCACCATGAAGGAAGACTCTTGGGACATGGTTGCGACTTGGAGCAATGGAATAATGAGAGAGAGAGAGAGTAGGGTTTTTCTTTATGCTCGTGATATCATGTGAGAATAATGGGAAAAGTACTCAAATAGGACTCCTGACATGTGTATATATAATGAGATAGTCCAAAATACAAAAGGAAACAAATATGACTAAATATATTTTAGGAAACAGATATTCCTAAAATATATTCTATTAATAGTAATATTTAGCGGTGGGCAATTCGGTCTACGGTTCAGTTTTTATTGGTTTCAGTTTATTCGGTTTGCGAGATATCGTATCAAATTCAAATCATTTATGTTTCGATTTGGATTTAGTTGCGTTTGGAATTGGTTATGTTTGGTTTGTTTTCGTGTTCGGGTTAGTAAAGTGAAAAATACATAAAATATTCAAACAAAACTAAATGAATCGGCAATAAAAATGTTGTAAAACTAATAATTTTATTCAAATGAGTTATGTAAAATATAAATTCTATCCAAATTTAACTAAAATAGTTATGAATGCAATGGGCTAAAATAGGTATGAATACAATGGGTCGTTGTCATCTCCGAAGTCCAAACATCTTTTCATACAAAAACAAATGAAAATATAATAAATACAAGTATGTCTTATTAGCGAACTTTGTCATAATGGATGCATAAAAGTTAAAAGGACATATGCTAAACATGTATTTTCATATCTAAGTTATTTATTTTATATCCTAAAGAAGAAGAGTGAAGACTCATAAAAATTATTTTTATAAATATTCAAAATAACCTGGTTCAGTTTACATTTTTCGGTTTAAAATCAAAGCAAACCATTCGATTTGAGAAAATTGTTATCAAACGATTTACTCGAGTTAAACCAAACGAAACCAAAGTACCGATTTTCTGTATGATTTGGTTCAATTTAACCTAACTGTTTTGTCTAGCCCTACTAACATTAATAGTTATATTAATATTTTTGTCCATAAATTATATTTCGATACGCTGGGGCGGAGGTGGAGGTGTGGCCAACCGGGCCACGGCCCAACCCAAAATTTAAAATTGCTTATATTTTTAACGTAAAAATTTATATGTAAAAAATTATCTATAAAAATTCTGTGTACCAGTCCAGCACAACTCTTACTCTTGGTTACGCCTCTCTCATCTATAAAAATACGTAAATGGCAACATAAAGTCATAAATACGAAGTAAGACCACTCTCATCGAAGGCCCGGGAAAATGAAGACCCATCAACGCCTATAGGCTTGTTAACGCATTGGGTGAGAACCCGGATATAGATCCAAAATGGTCATATACGGAGTAAAATAATTTAATTTCACTACTCTGTTCTGAATTTTTTTATTAAAAGGCATGGCCAGCCATGGACAAGGTCCTGGCCGACTGGCCTGGCCCAGCTATCTTGGCCTACTTTTCTCTTTTACTTCCTCTATCCTTCCCCAGGCCCTACCCTCCTTAAAAATGTTTCGGGTCTTGGTCTAAAATATGAGGCCTAAAAACCCATACCAACTGGTTAAGTTTAACTCCTGACCCAGAATAGGAGTGGACTCAGGCCGGGCCAACCGGCCCGGAACCGGCCCGACCCGTTACTGTGTGGGCTCGGACCAGCCCGGTGAACCAGTTCCGGGCCCGGTTCGGGCCACCCGGACCAGTGGGATGGCAGTTCGGGCTTGGGCCCTTCAAAAGGTGAACCGGCCCGGCCGGTTCGAACCCGGGCCGGGCCAATTTATTGATTTATTTTGAATTTTTTTAAGTTTTTGGGTTTGGCTGGGTATTTTGGGCCATTTGAGGTGGTTAGGGTTGGTTTGGGGGTGAGGGGGAGGGTTGGGAGTTAACTAGGAAAAGCCAAAAAAAATAAAAATTAGAACCGAGGCCCGGCCCGGCCCGGCTCAGACCCGGGGGTTACCCGGGCCGAGTCCGGGCCTCCCCTTCATGAACCGAGGCCCGGCCGGGCCCAAGCCCGAACCGGGACCGAACCGGAACCAGTCCATCCCTAACCCAGAACCTTAACTTTCAAAAAGTTTTTGATGGACCGGGACTAGATCAAGCCGGGTTCGGGCCTAAAAATTTCAGACCTGGTACAAACCAGAGTTTGTACCGGGGCCGGACCGGGCTTAAACAGTACCAGATCGGGCTGGGCGTCGGGACAGGACTGGGTAATAAATTAAAAAAATAGTGCAAGCGGGCCCAGGACCGGCCGTGTCAGGCCCAAAAAACGAGCTCGAAGCCCACCCTTATAGCCACCGGGCCAGGACAGAGCCTATACATTAGCGAGCCGGGCCTATAGATTAGTGGGCCAGGCCTAAACAATACAGGGCCCGGGCCCGGCTAACCCATCCCAGTCTATCCCTATCAAAAACCAGCCAAGGACAGGAACCTCATCTGTCCCTATTTATGAATGCCCAACTCTTTATTTATTTGTGTATGTTTGTGTTAACAGAAACTTCTGGCAAGGAATGCAGTAATATTAACAGAAGCTAGTATAGCACCAAATCAGGAGACACCAACGTAACTCATTGTGCTCTGATTTTTTATGTGAATGTAATCTATGGTTCTGCGCTAAAGTAATTGAAGATCCTAGATAGAGTATAGTCAGACAGACAACTAATACTTGCTAAATAAGCATAGCATCATGGTCTCCGAATCCTCATCCTTATAAATAAATAAATAAACCTACTCATTTTACCAATCAACTAAGAACATCAAACAAACAAAAATACCATTCACTGTGCGCTAATGGAAAACAGGACATACTTTTCAGAGCCAAGAAGCCGAACGCTCAACAACAAAACATTGAGATAGAGAGGCCACCCAGTCTACTTCACGTTAGCCATTTCTGCAACCTCAAAAGTAACTCTCACTTGAGGGAGAACCAACAAGTAAACTACGCCACCGCAGTTTACATAGTAGAGTTGGGCCAGCCCATATTTCCATACATTGGCAAACTTTGGATCGGTTGGGTTACATTATTACCATATGCTGGGGGAGGACCATGATGCTGCTGCTCCTGCTGCTGATGATGATTAAGAGGGCTACCGCCATTTTCCTCAGAAGACTCGCTTGAGCCGTCATCCTCTGAAGGGGGGCTAGATCCTGCCATGACTTGGGGTGCACCCACTATATTTGATGATGGCGGCGTGGAAGAGGAAGACCGCTTATACTTTCTCTTTTTGCCATCAGCAATGAAGCTACCAACAATTACCTAATTAAAATGGAATGGGCCCACCACATTCTTAACCCATCAGATCAAATGCGCATACAGATCGATTAAAAAAGAAAGACAAAACCAGATGCGACATCATTCATTACCTGTACTGGTCCAGCTGCTGTAAGCATTCCTGCAATTCCACCACCTACAACCTTACCATCTGCCCCAGCCAGTGACACACTCAACCCACATGTTCTGCTGTTTCCATTACTGTCTGATGGTGAGAATGAACCGGATAAAGATATTATTTCAAACCGGCCCTGGTTTTTAAAGAGTGACAGAAAATTAGATTAAAAACAGCAGCCACAAGCCAATATGCTAATAAAAACATAGAAATGATATCTCAGAATTAGGTTGTGTTCACTTAACTGAGCTTATAAGGTCAAGTCACACTAAAAGATGAATCCAATCTTGTAGCTAGTTCTATCTGAAGTCCTATGAACCCATTTTTCTCTATAATTTTCGAGTGTAGGATGTGGACAACTAGATCAATTTAAATCTAGCTGGTTGGTCACTTGTAAATTAAACTCTCCCTCCCCTAAAACTGAGACTCAAAATGCAGCGAAAAGACTCTTAAAATGCCATAACCTGCTGACTAAACATCCAGCTGGATAACTGGGGCCACGGGCCACTCAGGTCAGGTTTATGCATTCGACACACAATGAGCTAAAGACCTGCGGGCCACTGGGATGGGCTTACAGAATGACCACCAGGCAAACAAATTAGGTCAAGACTTACTCTTATACCATGATAAAAGTCAGGATTGAGTTGGGATCACTCAATTGGGTTATAAGACACTTGGGTCAAACCACACTAGAAGTTTCAATCCAATCTGGTCACTAGATCACTTCAAGGTCTTATTAATCCAACAATTCATCTTTATTTTTTGTAACTCTGACTTCAGTAAGAAGGATTCAAGTTCCGAGTCAACATACTATGTAATGACCAACAAGACCAGGCTATTGGATCCACTAGATGTAAAAAGTTCAATTGGTGAAATGTGTTAAAATGCAAGTGGCGAGTCTAAAAGCATGTTTAAGTTCTCAAATACCCTCATTATGGAGTAGTATAGCATGCTTTAAACTGTTCAATAGAGCAGTATTGTGTGTTGATTACTACCCCAGTAGCAGGCAAAAGTTGTATTTCTCACCTATCTTGAGAAACAATACAGTACAAGATGAGCTTATCTCATGAATCATGGGAAAAACTGCATCACTAGTCAACAATGTCCTTTGGAATTTTACTTTGCATCCCCACCAAATTTGAGGTTGCACCCTGTATTTCCTTTGGAATTTTACTTTGCAGTTTGAACATTTTTTTGAAGCTTTTGAGTTTGTACACCAATGTCCTCAAAGTGTTCCATTTTTTATTAGAATCTGCACCCCATAATTAGATTAATATTCAGGAGCGTTGGACTTTGCACCACCTTTTTCATTCAAATTTGTCCCCATCCCAAATTTGAAATCATAAATATTGACACCCCTAAATTGTAGCCTACACCCCATTTTTCTTCCAAATAGAAGTTTGCACCATAGTTGTTACGGCGTCGACTAGGTGCCAACTAGGCGTCCAGGTGATGTGGAGTAGTCGCCATGTGTCATCACCTCGCCGGAAGAAGAATAGGCGGCCGCGACGTCCACTAGTCGTCATCCAGACGTCGTTTTGGCAAAAAGGCGCTCGCCTGATGATTATAAATTGATTAGTAGCAGATTCCCAGTCCACCTAATTTTAGAAATTGAGTAATCCGCAGGCCCCAGAAAATATAGATTTAGATTTTAGAAATAAAATTTTAAAAAAGTAATTTAATTTGGACATATGAATAAAGCCCGAGTCTTCCTTGACGATACCTGACCCTCAGTCACCGAACATTGAAAGCTTATGAACGCCATAACGCATAAAACTCTAGTCGCAGCTAAGGCTGCGTCGCAAGAAAGCACTTGAACTTCCAGAGTCTTTCGTTCCAAGTATTATACGTTAATCCTATACCTTCTTTCAGAGCTTCCTGTTGTTTGTTCTTTCCTTTTCTTCTAGCAGTAGTGGAGCCGTGTGTTCCTAATCTAATTATGTCAGTGCTATAAATTTTTTGGGGACACAGCTTAAGTCATACACTTGTGTGTATGTCTATATATAGCATATAAAATCTTATGTGGTTGTATGAAAAGTTGTAATTGTTTATTAAAAACTTGTTATTGAGCCCGGTTTTCCATTATTAATTGCTGGTTTCAATTCTATGTAATATACAGTTTAATTTGTAATATATTGTATATATTATATACTAAGTTACAATTAAATACGGAGTATATATTAAACAGATTATTATATATACTTCCTCCGTTCTTAAATAAATGGAACGGTCAACATTTCACATTTGACGAGACACAACTTTGACCATTAATATATATAATTCTCTATTAATAAAAAATTAAAAAAATAGATTTTGAAAATTTACAATGAGACAAAAATAACAATATTTTTAAATATAACAATATTTTTAAATATATATATATAAATATATATATATTTAAAAATATATATATATATATATTTATAAATATATATATATATTCATACATTAATAAATAAAACGTAGTCAAAGTAGAATATGTGAATAGTGTAAAATTCAACATGTTGCATTTATTTAAGAATGGAGGTAATATATACAAGGTGCAACTAGTCACCTAATTGTCGCCTAGGCGGGCGCCTTGTCGCCTAGGCAATATGGCGGTTGGCTGGCGCTGCACCTCGCCTTACCACCGTGACAACTTAATGCTATGGTTTGCACACCAAATTTAACAGATTCTTTGAACCTTGGAGTGCAAATATTAATGGTTCAATACAGGTGCTATTGTGCGAACTGAAATCTGAGTGGTAAAAAATAGGTTGCAAAATCGCAAATTACATTTCCCCAGTGATATTTCAATATACACCAACAATTGAAACTTTGAAGTGCAAGAAAGTTAGAAAACGGAGTGCAACTTCCAATTTTGAAGTAAACATGGGTTAAAAACATAATTTTTCGGAAAAGTGAATCTGTAACATTTATGTTGTAAGATCAAAAGTGTAGTGGTGAATAACATAAGTTGTTTCTATAAAGGCATCAGGAACTCCAAGTCGCCAACTACCCGCACCATAGAAAAAGGGCATACCAGATCAAATTACTTTAACTAGGCTGTGAAATCACAATATGTAAAACATATACTCTGTACACAGCAAAAGTGAAAAGAGATGTAAAAGAGAGCAAACACACCTCTAATGTGACAGCACCTCCACATGCGGCTGGTTGGCGAAGGGTGACATTGCATATAGAACCACTTGCTGACAGAATGCAAACCGTTCTTGGTCCAAGCTGTGAGAAAGTTGTAATCTTTTTAGCAACATCCTGCAATTAGGGAATAATTAGAGTTGTCAAACCTTCAATTTCAGCTTGTATGAGACAACTGTTCCAAAGGGCCCAATAATCCCAATTCTGAAGACAAACCATAACCTTTTGCCACTCGCTGTTCTGACATTCCTCAAACACATAAATACAACAGAGAGAGAACTTTTATAAATGACAAAAAGTTTCTGCTAATATTACACATTTTGTCACACTCTTGTCCTCTTAGTTGCTACTCTAATCATTTGAACATAATCTTAGTAAATTACAGGTAGAAGTTGACGGCATAAAGATCTCACATTGGCCAGGGGAACTTCAAGATGCCACATTTTGAAAGTATTGCTAATGTTACTTTAACAAACTACATCTAGCTCACCCAAATTGAAGGGGTTAACCACATGAGTTGTGACTTGTGTGATTATAGGGAGCAGCTACTCTTGGATTAGGTGATATTATTACATCTCTATGCTTGGAGCCAAAATACAAGAGACATTATGTTTTAATTTTTGATGTAATTTTTAATAAATATAAAATAAAACATGTTTTAATTTTCAAAATTGCACCTCAAATTTAAACCACTTAGTCAAATAAATTTAAAACTGGGAAGCTTCATGGTGAATTAAGAAAATTAAAAAGCTAATAGTGTTTAAATTAGCAAACTTGACATTACATTAAACACCATGGAGTCATTATACACTATAAAAAGAAAATATGGACATTATAATTATGTCTTATATCAGTTATTAAGTATTGATAGATTAATTATTGTTTTTAATTAGTGGGCTTTTTCTTATACTGTCTCTATACCAAAATTTTCTTTCACTTTGAAATTTGAATTGCTACATTTATTGATAAAGTGGAAACATATGGTTGTGGTTGATGTAGAAAATGAAGGAAGAATGTTAACCACACAAACCATTCCTTAAAAGGAAATGGCAAGAAAACTAAGGGACATACCAAAAAAGGAAAGTGGGAAGAAAATTAGAGAACGGAGGAAGTATCTTTAATTATCTATAACATAAGCTTAATCATGGAAATATAAATTAATACATGTTTTAACTCAAATATCAAATTACACAATTGCTTATAAAACTGGCATTTTTACACCCTGCTGAAGCTCCACTTAATCCCCAACTAGAACCCTACATTTTTTTAAACCCTGTTGAAGCTCCAATTTATACCAATCATCTTCTCTTTAAAATCATTTTCTAATCCTAAAAAATGAAGACATAACATAAACAAAAAAATCACTTGTTCACAGAAAATTTTACTACCGCCACAACAACATATTTTTGGATGGAATGTTGTTTAACTTCATCAATGGAGAATGAATCCTCTTCTATGAGGCATAGATACTTCAATGAAATATTGTCATCTTTTAAATCCGTATACTATATTCCAGACGGAGACAAGTATCATCAAGCAACAACAACAACATCCAAACCTTAATCCTAACAAGTATCAAGCAAACTTTTAAAATAATTCCTTATTGATAGAAGTTTGCCTATTTTAAAATTTACATACAAGACAAAAGGTCAAATAGAACAAATCAAGTAGTAATTAAGAAATTAAGCATAAACATAACCCTTAATCAACAAATTATTCATAGTTATTTTTGTATATTTTAGAATCTATGCATAAAAAAAAACTCTTATATGGCTATATTTGCAAATAAATCCTTAAAATTTAATATATACAAATATACCCACGCATCCACATTTGATCATCCAAATACGGGGCTTCCTCCTTTACATACACAGCTCTAAAAAGATAGAAGAAATTCATGTATGGAAGGGTTTCACCCTCCCTGATTAGAGGGATAAACACAGAAAAAAATGTAAAAAGGTAACTAAACCATACACATTTCTACGATAAGGTGCTCATTCATTTCTTTGAAAGATACTTTTTTTCTTTTATTAGGACAGAAAGATATTACTTCTTATAGAAAACAAGATGGTCCTATTTTGGGTCCCCTAGATTGGAGATAAATAGGAAATTAAATTATTTTAAATCGAAATGTATTCCATTTCCCAAACTTCGGTTTTCAACCTAACCAGCTTTCCTTTAGGGTGAAAGAAAAGATTAATCAAAATTTCTGAGAATTCCATACAGAACACACTACAAAAAGGTATAGCAAGATCACAAGAACGAAAAATCCACCCAGGTCAAGATATTGTGACATAAAATCCCTTTGCAAACCTTTTGTTCAATGCATACTGTCTTAAGGAGGTCTGAATTAATTACATCAAATACATTAATGCAGCATAGTTGCATAAAGCATAAAAGAGTGTTAAGTTATATCTCATCTGAGAACATGCGTTGTTATCTCAAATATCTTCATTTGAAATTTCAGTTAATGCAAATTTTATGTCATTTTCTTTCCTCCCTGTGGTCATAAATAAATGACCTTTACTGCTCAAATGAGAAAATTAGAAGAACGAATTATATATGCAAGAAATGAAACTTGAGTGGATCTTACGGCCTCCCAAGAAAGAAATATTTTAACAAATCTGAGAAATCATTACTGAAAGTAACAAATTTAGCAGACCAAAAACTAAACAAATATAGCAAGTTAGCAAACAAAACTATAACTTTTCTCAAAGAGAAACGGTCACCTCTCCAGCTTGCACAGTGATTACATGGGGAGTGAAACCAATTCCAGTCGACCCTAACAACCAGTAAATCCAAAAGACAAATCAAGAAAAAGTAAAGGAGGTGGCTTTATGGCAGAACTATAAAAACATAAAAATCCGGTTTATACCAACGGCGTCCAATTGCCTCTTCCTGGAGCCCGGAGGCCTCCCCCGGGCCTTCTTCAGCTGATTCTCCGAGGAGTTATTCGGGGCAGCGCTACTAGTCCCTGTCCCAACGCCAGAATCTCCATGGCCTGCCATCGAGGAAATCGGAGAGACGGGCGCGGGAGAAAGGGCCAGAGCAATACCGCCGTCAGGAGAGTACTTTCTGGGGCGTCCTCTCTTCTTCTTGGTGGTGGGCTCAATGCCGAACCCAGTAGTCCTCTGGGAAGATCCGTCGGCGTAGTCCACGGCGGTGGGCGGCTGAACCGAACCCGAACCCATCATGGAATTGAAAGGAAAACGAGGGCTTTGCTGCTGCTGAATAGATTGCTGTTGTTGCATCATGGCATTGTTGGGCATGCCATAAGAGTTCGACTGGTGCGGTAGTGCGGCCATCATGGTGTGGCCGGATTGCGGTGGTTGCGCGTGGTGGAATTGAGCCTGTGGATGGTGGGAGTCTTGGGAATCCATCATTAATTGCTCGTTAGCAGTTCCAGATAGAGAGAAAAAGTGTTATTTTCCTTGTAATGAAAATGAAAAATGATAAACTGGATATCGCAAGGTGGGTTCGGATTTTTATTGGTTTTAGGCGCTGATGATGAAACCTACTGCAACAGTACTTGCGGTGGAAGATGGGAAATCTCGAAATGGGTGACCGAAGAAAGAAAAGGCAGAGTACATTTCTATGGCATGAGGCATCCTACCTAGGGGTGGACTCGTCCCCATCCGGTCCTGGTTCCTGTCCCGGACCGACCTGTCCCGGTTTCAAATATTGAAGACTCGAATCGATCCGGGTTTCTACGGATCTTGTTCCGGTTCGTTCTACCCAGCCGGTCCCGATCTGATCCCGGTTCGGTCATGTCATTAATTTTTTTTAGGAAAAATTATTATTTACCCCCTGAGATTATGTCATAATTATTAATGTAAATTTGCATTTAAAAAAAAACAATTAGTTATCCCCCTTAGTTTTGATCATTCTTAATATATGCCCCCTCATGTTAATTGGTGGAATATGCTTCCAGCGAGAAGAGCTTAATCAATCAAATATTAATGAATCGTAGAAGAGAAAGTAATAGCTGTTTTATTAATCCCGAACCCCCCCCCCCCCCCCCTCCAAGTGATGTACATGAGTATTTATAGGCTACAGGAACTAGTATTCTAGTACGAAACTGATACAACAAATGCTATTAATTGCATATTAATTCGAATGGGACTCTTGTAACGTTCATGCTGTTGCTAGATAACTATGCTGGAATAATAGTCTGCCACGTAAACCCTAGGAATATCCCGGCCTCACTAAAACTCCGTCCAGGCTCGAGGTCTGTTGTCCAACCTAGTTGTGGACTAGAACACCGCCTAGGCTCGAGGTCCGCTGTCCAGCCTGGCCTAGTCGTGGGTTCCTTTTGTGGTCTGGATCCCTAGTTAGGCCCAGCGGTTAATTAATATTAATCCCGTGAAGGGCTGATCTCATTGATGGGCTTTGCTTTAATTAAATCTTGGGTCATGGTAATGATCCATGGTAGGGGTGGGAAAAACCGAACCGAAACCCGGAAACCGACCCTAGCCCTGCCCGAATGATATTCCCGGTCCGGTTTTTTTCTATTTAACCGGCCCGAATAAAAAAACCCGGACTGAACCCGAAAGTTCGGGCTCATAAGTGGGCCCTAAAATCTATAACCCGGCACGGACCGATAGTATGTGTAATAGATAAAATTTAAATTTTAAAGTTCAAGAGCACTTAGCTTCGGATCTGTAGTATGTGTAAGCTTTCACTTTTCTTCCATTCGGACTCAGCCCAAACTCTGTTGGTTATCGATCCAGAGGATGTTGATAGAGAACCTTGAATTGTTGCTCATTGATGGAGTTTAATCCAACTACGAGAGCTAAATCTAACATTAGTTCGAATAGGACTCCTCTAGTGTTTCGGCCATTGTGCAATGATTATCTCTTTCAAGTCTGCGTTTCCTGGTTAAGCCCTGCCTGCTGCCAAATAGCTATGCTTAAATGATAGCCTGCCACGTAAACCCTAGGAATATTCTAGCATCACTGGAACTCCGCCCAAGCTCGAGGTCTCCTATCCAGCCCGGTCTGGCTGTGGGTTCCTGTCATGGGCCTGACTCCTAGTTGGGCTTAACGGCTTATCCAATATGAATCCTGTTCGGGGCTTGATCCCATTTATGGGCTAATCCTGTTAATTAGGCTAATCCTGTTATGGGCCGATCCCGTTATGGGCCGATCCTGTTAATTAGGCTAATCTCATTAAGGGCTGATCCCGTTATGGGCTAATCCTGTTAACTAGGCTAATCCCGTTAAGGGCTGATCTCATTATGGGATAATCCTGTTAATTCGGCTAAGCTCGTTAAGGACCGATCCTGTTATGGGCTGAACTACGTATTGGGCCATGGTCAGAGTCCATGGTACCATCACTCATAAAGAAAATTAGGCTCCAGGCAGCTGAATTTAGGCTAACGCGGACAGAATTTGGAATAATCAGGGGGTTGTCCCTCTTCTATCTGAGGTATGTTTTGACCCTCATTCTCCATTTTTAATTTGTGGTTCCCGGTTCGTTTCCCTTTCATACCCCGATTCACTATTTCCAAGCCTTCATTCTGGCTTCCTCCGGTTCCCATCGTTTGGACGAAGGGCAAAATGATGTTAAGACCCTAATGGCAGGCCTTAAGGAGCAAACTGCAGAGCTCGAGAGGAGGCTGGAAGCGGCGGTGCTGAGAGGGGACACGTTGGAGAAAAGGCTGGGTGATATTGAGGCTACGCATCGGGTTATGGAGGAAGAGCTGAGGAGGAAAGTTGAGGAGGCTGGCCATGCTGCTGCTCAGGCCTTCCGGGGAGTGCAGACTTCCTAGTTGGGGTGGAGCAGATTGTTTCAGGTCGTCAGGCGTAGATAACGCTGGACTGGCTCCATACCCCTGAAGGTGAGGCCAGGTTGGACAAGGAGGGGCCCTGTGCTTCCAGCTGCGACGGTTCGAAATGTAAAAATCCCTGCATAGTCTCCTCCAGAAAAGAGACTCATCCTTCTCTGCCCAGGTCTGGGGGATTTCGGGGCTGATGAAGAATCTGGAGGTTGCTGAAGAGAGCCCAGTCTCATCCGTTCCAGCCTCTAAAGTTCCTCCCGCTCAATCCGGTAATTGATCTGATTTCTAAAAACACCTCTGCAAACATCTTTCCAGGCCTGCGTGCATGTTGTCGTTTTCCACCAATGGGGTGGCTTCATAATTCAAACATCTTTATCTTCAGCTTTATCTTTTGCACGTGCATATATGGTACCGCTTTTGATCATCTTTGTTGATTGTTTGACTGGTAGAATCTCATCAGGTGCACAAAATTCCACACCCAGCGGTCTGATCTACCAATTGGTCTATGCTTGTCAGAGGGAAAGGGTCCATCGGGCATGCCTTGCTCATATCAGTGTAGTCTACACACATCCTCCGGGTTGGCGGCTTGAGGGCCAAGATTACGTTGGCAAGCCACTCTGTATATTTTACTTCTCGTATATGCACAATGCTTAATAGCATGCCAACCTCTCCCTTAACAAACTTTTTCCTGTCGAAGGATAGATACCTTTGCTTTTGTTTCACGGGTGCAGCATTGGGACCTACCTTCAGCCTGTGAATTGCTACGTCTAGGAAATATTAGCGATGCTTAGACAAGATGATTTATATGTGCTGAACAAGATTGGCCTATTTAATATTGAATGTTGGAGCTGGTGTGGCCCACAATGTTGAACTGGTTTGAGACCAATTATCTATTAAGGACTTGACAGCTTGTTCCCCCTCCTTCCTTCTTCTTGATCAAAAGAAAAGCTTTCTCCATCAGACATGAGCCGGAGTCGGTAAGAGAATAGAGAACAAATGTTGACCGAGTCATCAGCTTTCTTTTTTTTTCGGCGTAAAAAATGCACACTAATCAATAATAAAAAATAGTAATGATATAACTCAAATCGTCGCCCGGGCTGTGTTGTTGGAATTTGATATTCGGGATGACTAGTCCCCGAGCTCAAAGTGATACTATATCAATTATATTTTTTACTATGATTTTATAATGTCTTTTATCAAACTTATTCTTGGAATTGTGATATAGTAGTATGAGAATGAGAATTAAAAAGCACTTAGCTTTTTGAAAGATGTGGGCAGTCTGAATTGATAGCTTGGGCCAGGAGTTGAACATTTTTGCTGATGGGTGGCCCGAATGAGTTATAGCTAGAGTCATGGGCTCCCCGACCCAGTGTATCTGTTGCTGTGACCTAGACAATCTCCTTGCACCTAGAGCAGCGTACGTTTCCGGGAGTTAAGGTCGTAGGGAGAAGAAGCTTACCTTTCCGAGAGAGGAATATTAGTAGGTTTAGAGGTCACGGTGGGCCTTAGCTTGGCATGCTCGGCCATGTGTCTCTGTTCCGTAACCCGAGCATCTGCCTGAGATCGGAAACTTAGACCCAGACCATTACCGTCATCGCCTGAACTCGATTTGGCCGTAATCTTTAGGGAGCTTTGCTCCTGGAATTCCATATCCGGGCCGTGAGCTAGGAAAAATCGATCGTTTATTAAAGATGTTGGGGTCGTGAGCAGAGCCCCCAAACCGCCATTAATGACAGAAACCTTACAAGAGGCTTAGGTCAAACGACGCCCGATGAATCTGAGACGGAGGCGAAGAGGCAGCCGGCTGGAGAGGTGGTAGAGTTAGCTGCCATAGGCGTCTGGTGACGCTATGATGGCAAGAACAAGTTGCGAGCAGTTGTTTGGCGAAGTGGGCGGCGGTGGCCGTCTGCCATCAGCCACAGGATCGGTCCGCAGCTCGGCTGCCTGTCTGGACAAATTCTTCCATATTTTTCCTTTTGTTTTCACTTTTCACCCAAAAGAGTTTCTTGACTATTTTTCAAGTGATTGGGATGAATTTTTGAATGTTTTTGGGAGGATTTATCGAGTGATTTTGGGAGGATAATCCCTTGATTTTGATCAAGCTCTCAATGAAAGCACCAATGATGGATATGATTCTAGCGAGAAGAGCTTAATCAATCAAATATTCATGAATCGTAGAAGAGAAAGTAATAGTTGTCTTATTAATCCCGAAAGGCCCTCCTTTACAAGAGATGTACACGAGTATTTATAGAGCTGTCAAACGGGCCAACCTGGCCCAATCCGACCCAACCCGTGACGGGTTATGGTCTATGTGGGTTGGGTCGGGCCAACCCGTTTAATGACGGACCAGAATTTCTACAACCCTAACCGAACCCACCTAACCCGTGGGTTAAACGGGTTGGCCCGCGGGCCTATATGTAAAAAAAATATAACAAAAAAATTAAAAATAATTACCCGGAAGTATAAATTTATATTAGTAAGTAGTAACAAAGGAAATATAAAAAATCAAAATACTAAAAATTCAATACATGTTAAATTTAATTAAAAAATATTAAATATTAGTTATACGAGAATTTGAAAACTATAAGAGGGTATGCGACAAAAATACTCATTGTATAAAAATAAAGATCTACATAAACCTTTTGATTAACTATTTGTAAATAATGACTACTAATTGTTAAATATTGTATCGAACTTCACATAAAATGTACTCCCTCTGTCCCTTAAAACTTTTCCAACTTTACGTATTTGGATCATTGGATGTCCCACTAACTTTGCCACTTTCTATTTTAAATAAAGAATTTGTGGCTACAATCAATTATCTCTCCTCTGCACAAACCTCTACCACA